TAGCAGAACTTACGCAGCGGCAATGATCCACGGTCCACGACAAATTATGTTCGTTTATGCATTTTATTTCCAATAACCATGTACATTCAAACAGGGTGCGCGTTATTGTTTTGTTCCCTAAGCCGTTTTCCTATGGGCTTTCCTTCTTTTTTCTGGCTTGAAATACCCTGGTTAAAAAAACATGTTGCCTATAGTGCCCTCTGCTTCCTTCTCACCTGCTTTCCAACTATATACAATTACACCAGGGTGCTCTATCACCCAGCTGGGCCCAAAACTGCCTTCAAAATAAAAGCATAGAAACGACTTTTAATGACTAAGAATTACATTTACATAAACACGCTAGTAAACAGCCAAAGAAAATAAATGCTATTAAATATTTAAATAATATAAAAGAGATTATATAGGCTCCAACAGACTGTATCAATGTTTTTTTTTTTTTTTTTTTTTTTTTTTTTTTTATATGCGGACGATAGGTTGGGCCGTGGGCAGGATGTTGCCAGGGAGTTCAACGTACAGTAAAGCCAGTTATGACGTCATGACCAGTGGTGTAGTGGGCGTTGCACACGGGGTGTACACCGTACGCCCACTTATTTGAAGCATGATTTTTTATAATAGTCTAATAAATATAAAATCATTGCCAGTGTTATCAGTTGCAAGTGTGTATTTGTTGTAATAATGACGAAAACATAATAGGCAGATTTCACAGTAATTCTAATAAAAACGTAGCTCAAGCATTTATGCAACTTGATTTGAAGTGTGTGTGTGAGTGTGAGGGGCAGCACCGTGTGTGTGTGTGTGTAGGGTGACACTGTGCGGGACTGCACACACAAACAGCATTTTTATTATTTGTGCCGCGTCCCACAAATTGAGACTATGTCCCGCATTTGAGTGACAGTCGCGCAGAAAGGCCAGTGCATTTATGCATAATAGGTGACCTTTGATGTCAACTGGGCAAATTCTGACAGGATAGATAATACTGTGTAATGACCTTGGCTTTAGTTTTAAACTTTTCATGAAAATATTCATTTCCTTTTCTTTTTATTTCTTGTATTGTTTTACTTCCTGCCTTAGTAATTGTTTGCCCTGGGCTGCAGTTGAATTGTCAGTTTAGCTTACAGCTGTAGGAACATTCCTAACGGAGTGAAATGACCCGGAAGTCCCTCAGTGGCAGCTATGATAAGAGCCGTTCGAATTCTCTAGATGATGGGAAAGGAGGTTTCAAACTTCCTTTATAACCTCCTTTAGCTTAAGAAACACTGGACCTTCCTTTATGAAAGGAAAGGAGAAAATGCTGCCCCATAATGCCTTGCGGCCGCAACATTTACCGTGACACAACATTCGGCCGTTCACGGAAACAACCGATTATGACCAAGAAATGATATCATGAAAGTTACGGTGCTTATTAAGCATTTTACAACTTATGTGGTAAGTTGAAAGTGCTTTGTTTTGAACGTTCATCAGAATTATAATCAAAAGGAGAAATATGAACGTTAGTTTTTACTGAAATGATCAAATAAAGTCAACATTTCACAGTCTTTACTGAGCTGTGTG